AGAAGATCCTTAAAGCAGCAAGAGACAAGAAGTCCCTGACTTTTATGGGGAGGAGTATTAGGGTAACAGCAGACCTCTCCACAGAGACCTGGCAGGCCAGAAAGGGCTGGCAGGATATATTCAGGGTCCTAAATGAGAAGAACATGCAACCAAGAATACTTTATCCAGCAAGGCTCTCATTCAAAATGGAAGGAGAGATAAAGAGCTTCCAAGACAGGCAGGAACTGAAAGAATATGTGACCTCCAAACCAGCTCTGCAAGAAATTTTAAGGGGGACTCTTAAAACTCCCCTTTAAGAAGAAGTTCAGTGGAACAATCCACAAAAACAAGGACTAAATAGATATCATGATGACACTAAACTCATATCTGTCAATAGTAACTCTGAACGTGAATGGGCTTAATGACCCCATCAAAAGGCCCAGGGTTTCAGACTGGATAAAAAAGCAGGACCCATCTATTTGCTGTCTACAAGAGACTCATTTTAGACAGAAGGACACCTACAACCTGAAAATAAAAGGTTGGAGAACCATTTACCATTCAAATGGTTCTCAAAATATACCCTAAAAACTATAGAACACTTCTGAAAGAAATTGAGGAAGACACAAAGAGATGGAAAAATATTCCATGCTCATGGATTGGCAGAATTAATATTGTGAAAATGTCAATGTTACCCAGGGCAATTTACACGTATAATGCAATCCCTATCAAAATACCATGGACTTTCTTCAGAGACTTAGAACAAATTATTTTAAGATTTGTGTGGAATCAGAAAAGACCCCAAACAGCCAGGGGAATTTTAAAAAAAGAAAACCATATCTGGGGGCATCACAATGCCAGATTTCAGGTTGTACTACAAAGCTGTGTTCATCAAGACAGTGTGGTACTGGCACAAAAACAGACATATAGATCAATGGAACAGAACAGAGAACCCAGAAGTGGACCCTGAACTTTATGGTCAACTAATATACGATAAAGGAGGAAAGACGATCCACTGGAAGAAAGACACTCTCTTCAATAAATGGTGCTGGGAAAATTGGACATCCACATGCAGAAGAATGAAACTGGACCACTCTCTTGCACCATACACAAAGATAAACTCAAAATAGATGAAAGATCTAAATGTGAGACAAGATTCCATCAAAATCCCAGAGGAGAACTCAGGCAACACCCTTTTTGAACTTGGCCATAGTAACCGGAGAAGGACAAACAGTGTATGTTCTCATTCATTTGGGGAATATGAATAATAGTGAAAGGGAATATAAGGGAAGGGAGAAGAAATGTGTGAGAAATATCAGAAAGGGAGACAGAACATAAAGACTTCTAACTCTGGGAAATGAACTAGGGGTGGTGGAGGGGGAGGAGGGCGGGGGGTGGGGGTGAATGGGTGACGGGCACTGAGGGGTACACTTGACGGGATGAGCACTGGGTGTTATTCTGTATGTTGGTAAATTGAACACCAATAAAAATTAATTTATAAAATAAAATAAAAATAAATAAAAAATAAATAAAAAATAAAACAAATGTCACTAGTTTTCACAAAATCTTCCAGAATAGAAAGAAGGCATATTCCCCCATCCATTCTATGAGGTTAAGATTCTTTTGATCAAAAAGTGATATACAGAAAATACACAAAAACTACAGGCCAGGGCAGCCCTGGTGGCCCAGCGGTTTGGTGATCCTGGAGGCCCTGGATCAAGTCCTGCGTCGGGCTCCCTGCATGGAGCTTGCTTCTCCCTCTGCCTGCGTCTCTGCCTCTCTCTCTCTCTCTCTCTCTCTGTGTGTGTGTGTGTGTCTGTCATAAATAAATAAAAATAAAATCTTAAAAAAACCTACAAGCCAATTAACCCTTACTTATATATATATATAATACATACCAGAAAATTTAGGGCACTTGAGTGGCTCTGTTAGTTGAGCAACCAACTCTTGGTTTTGGCTCAGGTCATGATCTCGTGGGTCATGAAATCAAGCCCTCTGTCCAGCTGCATACTCAGCAAGGAGTCTACTTGAAAATTCTCTCCTTCTGCCCCTCCTCCCACTTGCACTCCCTCTCCCTCTCTTTTAAATAAATAAATAAATAAATAATCTTTTTAAAAAAACTTTTTAAATTTATCAGAAAATCTGATTCTTTAACACATATGAAGGATAATACATCATAAGGAAGGGGATTAGTCCCAGGACTACAAGACTGATATAAGTCAGTCTCCCTACCGCGTCAGAAACATATATTTTGGAATCAAGTTTGAATCAGATCTCAAGCTGGAAGATGCTTTGTGGTGAAGATTAACAGATCAGTATATCCAACTCCCCATGGGAATTGCTGCAGAGACTCTTGCTGCAAAACATAGAGAAGACTGTGACAAGTACGCCCTGTAGTCCCAGTAGGGGTGGAAAGCTGCTAATGATGCTGGCTACTTTAATAATGAGATGGCACCAACTGAGGTGAAGGCTAAGAAGGGGAAAGACACAGTAGATGAGCATGCTCAGCCTCTAACAATCCTGGATCAGTTAAATAAACTTCCCCCAGTATTCAAGAAAGAAATTGTGACTGCAGGGAATGCATCAAGGGTATCTGATGGCGCTGGAGCTGTTAATCATAGATAGTGAAAATGCTGTTACACACACACACATACACACACACACACAACTTCACATCACTGGCAAGAATTGTGGGCTATTTCGTGTCTGGATGTCCCTCTATCATGGGTATTGGTCCTATCTCTGCTATCAACGGGGAACTGAAGAAAACAGGATGGAGTCTTAAGGACTGGATTTGGTAGAGGTGAATGAAGCTTTTGCTCCTCAGTACTTAGCAGTTGAGAAGAGTTTGCATCTTGACCCAAGTAAAACCAATGTGAATGGCGGAGCCATTGCTTTGGGTCATCCTCTGGGAGAATCTGGAACAAGAACTATGGCACACCTGGTTCATGAATTAAGGATTGGGGCAGGAAATACACCACTATATCAGTTTGTATCAGAGGCGGCCAAGGCATTGCTATTGTCATTGAGAGCACAGCCTGAGGTGTAGGTGGCCCACCAAGGCCCCCTGGTACTGTGCTGGGCCAGACCACAGCAAAGCAGGTGATCTTCAGAGCAGCTGTGAACCTAGATGTGCTCTCTACTGCAAGTGGCTGAGTGGGATTAAGGGATAAGGAGGCAAAGATGTATTTCTCGTGAATGAATAAGTATATAAGTTCTCCAAAATTTGTACAAAATATGATGTATTTCTGCACAAAAAACAAACTACAGAGGCCTTAAAAGAAATTGTATTCTCTTGCCATATAATTACCATTTATACCTTAGGTAATATGATTGCAAGAGAATGGAATAAATAATACTTAAGAAAAAATTGGTTTCAGCTCAGGTCATGACCTCACGTTCCTGGGATTGAGCCCCACTATCCTGCTCTGTGCTCAGCGGGAGTCTGTTTGGATATACTCTCCCTTTGCCCCTCCACCTGTTCACACTCACTCTCGCTAATAAGTAATAAATAAAATATTTTTTAAAAGACAAAAAAAGAGGAAGAAACCCTAAAACCCCACCACAGGATCATCCCAACAGATGTACAGAAATTGAAACTGAGAGCCCAGAAATAGGTCAACACAAATATCATCCACTTACCTCTGACAAAGAAGCAAAGGCAATTAAGTGGACAAAGGACAAACTTTTTAAAGTATGGTGCTACAAGTGAAAAACCACAAGTAAAAAAAAATGAATCTATATATAGAATTTACACTTTTCACAAAATTTCATTCAAAATGTATTATAGATCTAAATGTAAAATACAAAATTGTAAGACCCCTAGAAAATAACAGAGGGGAAAATCTATGTGACCTTATGTTTGGTGGTAAATTTTGAGATACAACACAAAAATCACAATTTATCAATAAAAATGGGATAAGATGCAATTGATTAAAATAAAAAAAATCTTCTCTGCAAAAGACAAAGTTAGGAGAATATAAAAATTTACAACATATGTCATTAGAAAAATTAGATAAAAAACAACAGATTTCAAAAAAATGAGATACCACTACCTACTTGAATGGCTAAAATCTAAAATAATGACAGGGACATCTGGGTAGCACAGTTGGCTAAGCACCTGACTCTTGGTTTTGGCTCAGGTTGTGATCTCAGGGTCCTGGGATCAAACCCCGTCGGGCTCTATGCTCAATGCAGAGTTTGATTGCAATTCTCTCTCCCACTCCCTCTGCCTCTCCCACTTATGCTCTCTTTCTCCAAAATAAATTTAAAAATCTTTAAAAAAATAAAGACTAAAATAATGACAATATTAATAACTGGAAAGGATGTTAAGCAACAAAAACTCTTATTTAGTGGAAAATAAAAATAGTATAGCACTTCTAAAATGAATTGGAAAGTTTCTTACATAACTAAATATACTGTTACCATGGAATGCAGTAACCATGCATGTGCCCAAATGAGCTGAGAAGTTATGTCCACACAATATTGCTATATGGGTGTACAACAGGTTTATGCATAATTCCCAAAACTTAGAAACAATCAAGATATCTTTACCTAGGAGAATGAATAAACAAATCTTGGTACATTCATACAAACAATATTATTCAGTGATTAAAAGAAATATGCTATGCTTTGAAAGACACAGAGGAAACAAGTGCATAATACTAAATGAAAGAAGCCAACTGGAAAAGGCTGTGTAGCAGATGATTCCAATTGTAGGACATTCCAGAAAAGCCAAAACTACCGATAGTAAAAAGATCAGTGTTTATAGAGTGAATAGGCAACCTAAGGAATGGGGAAAAATATTTATAAGCTATATATCTGCTATAGATTTAATCTCTAAAATATATAAATTATAAAATATATAATTTACTCCTACAACTCAGTAAAGGACACACACACACACAACAAAAAACAAAGCAAAAACTAGGGGCGCATGGGTGGCTCAGTCAGTTGAGCATTCAACTCTCAGTGTCTGCTGGGGTCATGATCTCAGGGTCATGAGATCAAGCCCTGAGTCGGCTCCATGCTGCGTGTGGAGCCTGCTTAAGATTCTCTCTCCTGGGAAGTGCGTGCGCGCCGGCAACATGGCGGCCGCGGTGGTTCCGTTGCAGACCTTGCGCCGCCTATGCCGCGTGCTGCTGTTCCTCTCCCAGTTCTACATCTTGTCCGGCGGGGAAAGTACTGATATTCCACCTTATGTGATGAAGTGTCCAAGTAATAGTTTGTGTAGCCGACTTCCTGCAGACTGTGTAGAATGTAAGACAAATTTCTCCTGTGTCTATGGGAAGCTCGTCACCTTTGACTGCACCGTCAAACCTTCTGTTACCTGTGTTGATCAAGACTTCAAATCCCAAAAGAACTTCATCATCAACATGACTTGCAGGTTTTGCTGGCAGCTTCCAGAAATTGATTATGAGTGTTCCAATTCTACCAGCTGCATGACAGTATCTTGTCCCCGGCAGCGTTACACTGCCAATTGCACAGTGCGGGACCACATTCATTGCTTGGGTAACCGTACTTTTCCAAAAATGCTGTACTGCAACTGGACTGGAGGTTATAAGTGGTCTACTGCTCTGGCTCTGAGCATCACTCTTGGTGGGTTTGGGGCTGACCGTTTCTACCTGGGCCAGTGGCAGGAAGGCCTCAGCAAGCTCTTCAGCTTTGGTGGCCTGGGGATATGGACACTGATAGATGTCTTGCTGATTGCTGTTGGCTACGTGGGACCAGCAGATGGCTCTTTGTACATTTAGCTGTGGTTACATGCTTCAGAGAGGAGCTCTCTGCCTATAGGAGTTGATGTGCTGTGAGTAATGTATTTGTATGTTTTTAATGTACAGCATCTGTACTTTGCCTGCCTTGATGAAGGTAAAATAAAAAAACACCAAACCATGAAAAAAAAAAAAGATTCTCTCTCCTTTTCCCTCTGCCCCTCCCCACTTGCTCATTCGCATTCTCTTTCTCCCATTAGAAACAAAACAAAGCAAACCCTAACAACCTGACTTTTAAAATGGGCAAATAACTTCAAAAACCTTTCTCCCAAGATATACAAATAGCCAACTGGTATATGAGAAAATGTTCATGGTCACTAATCATCAGTGAAATGCAAATCAAAACCCCAGTGAAATATCACTTCACACCTGACAGGACAACCATATCAGAAAAGCAAAATACAAGTCTTGCCAATGATGTGAGAAACTAGAACCCTTTCACACTGTTGGTGGGAATGCAAAGTGGTACAGCTGCTATGGAATACATCATGGATATTCCTTTAAAACACCAAAAATAGAACTACCATTTGATCCAGTAATACTATTTCCAGGTATATATCCAAAAGAAATGAAATCAGGACCTGGAATAGATATTAGCAGTTCCATGTTCACTGCAGCTCTGTTCATGATAGCTAACATGTGGAAACAAACCAAATGCTCATCAACAGATGAATGGATGATGAAAACATATATACAAATTATATTATTCAATCTTTTTATAAAAGATTTTATTTATTTATTTGAGAGACACACAGAGAGAGGCAGAGACACAGACAGAGGGAGAAGCTGGCTCCTTGCAGGGAGCCCAATTCAGGATTCAATCCCGGAACTGGGATCACACCCTGAGCCAAAGGCAGACGCCCAACCACTGAGCCACCCAGGCGTCCCTATACAATCTTTAAAAAGGAAATTTTGCAATACATGACAACACAATAGGCTCTGAGAACATTATGCTAAGTGAGATAATCCAGACACAGTATAAAGGCAAGTACTTCATGATTCCACTTAGATGATGAGGAATCTAAAATAGTCAAATTCATAAAATCAGACTGGAATACTGGTGATCTGGAGTTGGGGGAAGGGAGAAATGAGAAGTTTTTAATCAACAGGCATAAAGTTTCAGTTAGGTAGCATAAAATATTATTTTAGTCATTTTCTTTGCTATTACAGGAAATCCTATTATTTCTCATGTTCAATTGTTAGTATATATTGTTCTATACTTGTTGGAAAACATGACCAAAAAGACATGACCATGAGTTGACCTGTGAGCTAGACTCCTGGCACTCCGAGGCTCCTTACTCCCTCCCTTGTTCTTGGAATGTGGGTCCTGCTTGCCTTTTTCACTCTCAGAGGATATAGCCTTGAGATCATGATATGGTGTGTGGGGAACACCTGCATAGTCTATGTGACTGAGCCCAGGTAAGACCTCTCTACAAACTTCTAAGATTTGGCAAGCAGTGCAGGGATCCATTCATCTTAGTGCTATACAACACAAGCCTTGTATGTAAGTTCCCTTTGCTTATTATAACCACCACCTACCAATCTGGACTGCCCTCTGTGTGCAGGAACTGCTTTTAGACTACACCTGGGAAAACTGAGAGAATTATGAACTTGACTACACATCAGTGTCAATATTGAGTGAATAATTGCATACTATACAAACATTTTTAAAAAATATTTTATTTACTTCTTCATGAGAGACAGAGAGAGAGGCAGAGACATAGGCAGAGGGAGAAGCAGGCTCCATGCAGGAAGCCCAAAGCGGGTGGGACTCGATCCCAGGACTCCGGGATCACATCCTGAGCCAAAGGCAGCTGCTCAACCAGGATCACGCCCTGAGCCAAAGGTAGCTGCTCAACCGCTAAGCCACCCAGGTGTCCCTATACAAATACCTTTGAAGGGAAGTTTTATCATTTGATGCCAACTCTTCAGAAGACTCACAAAAATTGACACATGCATTTTGGTTATTTGCTATTTTATATACACACAAAGTAGACAGCATAACCTCCTTGCCTTTTCATTGTGTTGTTTCCATGGCTGTGAAGAAACTTTTTAGTTTGATATAGTCCCACTTGATTAGTTTTGTTTCCTGTGCTTTGATGTTAATTTAAAAAAATTATTTCTAACGTCAATGTCAGGGAGCTTTCCTTTTGTGTTCTTCTAGCTTTACTGTTTCAGGTCTTATGCATTTTTCCAACACCGTTTATTAAAGAGACTATCCTTTCCCCCATTGTATATTCTTAATGCCTTTGCCAAAAAATTAGTTGCCTTTATTTGTGGGTTTATTTCCTGGCTTTCTCTTCTGTTCCATTGATCTATGTGTCTGTTTTGATGGCAGTACTGTATGTGTTTCATTAGTATAACTTTGTAGTGTAGTTTGAAGAGAGGGCATTTGATGCCTCCAGCTTTGTTCTCCTTAAGATTGAGCTAGTCAGGGCAGCACCTGGCTCAGCGGTTTAGCGTCATCTGCAGCCCGGGGTGTAATCCTGGAGACCCGGGATGGAGTCTCACGTTGGGCTCCCTGCATGGAGCCTGCTTCTCTCTCTGCCTGTGTCTCTGCCTCTCTCTCTCTCTCTCTGAATAAATAAATAAATCTTTAATTTTTATTTATGATAGTCACACACACAGAGAGAGAGAGAGGCAGAGACACAGGCAGAGGGAGAAGCAGGCTCCATGCACCGGGAGCCCGATGTAGGATTCGATCCCGGGTCTCCAGGATCACGCCCTGGGCCAAAGGCAGGCGCCAAACCACTGAGCCACCCAGGGATCCCAATAAATAAATCTTAAAAAAAAAAAAAAAAAAAAAAAAAAAAAAGATTGAGCTAGTCAGTGTCTTTTGTGGTTCCAAAGATAGCCATGCAAGGATATACTTTAGGATTTCATTTATGTAAAAATAGAATGAAAAGCAGCCATACAAAAGTATACTGTAGGATTCCAAACACAAAAATTAAAGAAAGGCAAATTAGTGTAAAATGACATAAATCACCAGATTTGCCCACATTCTCAACAGAGTTTATTGAGGCCAGTTGTAAGTAAAGATGTCCCCATATTCGCAGTTCTCATAAGGACTCACATCAGTGTGAACTCTCTGTTGTGTAACAAGACTGGAGTTGTACCACAAAAACTTCCCACATTAGCTGCAATAATAAGGCCTTTCTCTACTGTGATTTGTCTGACGTCTAATGAATGTGGAGTTGCAACTAAAGGATTTCCTACATTGTTGCACCCATCAGGCCTTTCTCCAGTGTGAGTTCTCTGGTGTCTAATGAGTGTGAAGCGGTACCTAAAGAATTTCCCACATTTGTCACATTCATAAGGCCTTTCTCCAGTGTGAACTTTCTGATGAATAATGAGTGAGGAGCTGTCCATAAAGAATTTCCCACATTCTCTGCACTCATAAGCCCTTACTCCAGTGTGGATTTTCTGGTGCTCTACAAGTTTATGTTTGCGGCTGAAAGCTTTCTCACATTCAGCGCACTTGTAAGGTCTCTCTCCAGTGTGGATTTTCTGGTGTTCAACAACTTTGTCTTTGCGGCTGAAGGCTTTCCCACATTCTCTGCACTCATAAGGCTTTTCACCACTGTGGATTTTCTGATGCTCAACAAGTTTATGTTTGCGGGTGAAAGCTTTTCCACATTGACTGCACTCATACGGCCTTTCACCAGTGTGAACTCTCTGATGTCTAATGAGTGTAGAACGATTCCTAAAAAATTTTCCACATTCACTGCAGCCATAAGGTCTTTCTCCTGTGTGGATTTTCTGGTGACCAACAAGTTGGGATAGTCTAAGGAAACCCTTCCCACATTGGCTACACTCAAAAGGCCTCAGCCTGGTGTGAATACCCTGATGGTCACTGAGGCCAGGTATCTGTGTAAACAATCCTCTACATTTTGGATTTTCATAAAGCTGATCTTCATCGTGGCCTATCTGGTGCTGATGGAGGTGGGACTTTCTAAGGAAGGCCTTCTCACATTCTCTTTGCTCATAAACCTTTCCTCCAGTGTGAATTTTCTCATGTTTAACAAACATATGTTTATGACTGAAGGTTTTCCTACATCGCGTACACTTGTAGTAATTCTGTTCATTTTGAAAGGTTTCTCCACCTGCCATGTCCCAGTGTGGCTTTCCTACAACATGAGGAACCTGTTCTTGCAGGAGGCCTGAGCTGGCTGGGAAGTGCTTCTCATCTTCCCTGCATGTAAACATCATTCCTGTCATGTGACCTCTGTAGTTCTTCCCAAGTGAAGACCTCCCCTCATCACTTTTGGAAAGTTTCTCTCTAATTTGATGCTTTTGGTTCTGGTAAGGCTTTTCCCCACAAGTATACAGGCCTTGCCCAGGGTGTGTTCCATCATGCTCAGCCAAGTGCAAAAGGTCTTTCAAGAGCAGGCCACATGTCTCACAGGGCTGGGCCTCCTGGATGGATGGGCCTGGCTTCGGAGTCCTGACCTGTGATGTTCCTGCAGAAACACCTTGTTCTGAAGGTGCCCCCTCATCCTGGGCTCTGTGCAAACAACCTGGAAGCAGAGAAATGCTGGTAAAGTGCACATTGACTCTTTGAGGAGGCAGTCCCATAGGAATGTCAGACACACCCAGGGACAAGGCCATGGGCCTGCTGACGGGCAAGGGGGCCTGGAGATGGTGAGAGTAAGGCCTGCTGTGCAGAGCTCAGCCTGCCAAGCTCCCATGATGAGAGAGCCCTGACTCTGGGGAAGGACCTGAAGGTGGGGGAAATGCAGGGATGAGAAGCAGGCTCCCCAACTCCCTCCCCTGCCAATGACTTTCAACAAGGCCATAGCTGCCGGTGACTAGTGAGCACTGATACAAGACTGGGTCCAGACACAGGAGTGTGTGATTGCAACACAGCAGCTGGTGTTCAAAGACTATTTAAAAATATATGCAGCCATCAAGATACCTTAGAGTAGGTCATATATCAAGTGTACTGCAAAGGGAACAAGAAGGGAAGGATGACAGAGGAAAGCCACAAAAGTGGGGGAGCTGGGGAATGCAAGTTTAGAAATGACGATAGGAAAAAAAAAAAAAAGGTAGAAATTTGGTATGACTACTGTCCCTGGCATCATATAATGGTGAATCCAGCTTGGACAATACACCCAT